AGTATTGCGTCTGTCGCACTCGCTGATCACGATGTACAGTTTGACTCTCGCCATGATAATCTAAATGATTTATAGTGTCTCTCTTGCCGGTAGCCAATCTGCTGTTTCATGGTGACACATGGTTGGAATGCTGCAATTCTGCTTGGCCTTCAGGCAAGGAAGAGCAGTCATAAAGAATTCAGCTTTCTGCTGGTTGCCATTAAATGTCTGTCAGCGTTTTTATTTTATATTGTATGCCACTCCAGCTACAGGCTATTAAATAAGCTTTTTGTCTTGTGGTATGTTCCCGTGTGCTCTGTAGGAGGAGACGGTGACTCTGAGGAAGGAGGGGAGCGGAGTGGTGTTGGATTGCTGTTTGCCTCACCTTATCGGTGTTGGTGAAGATCTGCAAAGCACTGGAATCGCCCTCTATTACTTGACAGTGAATAGTTTGTTTGAGCTTCATATTTATGCACTACTCTTGATTTAATCGGAAAGTGTCTCAATTATTTTGTCACACAACTTTCTGTGTATTTTTATGATCTTCTAATCTATAGGAAGGCAGAACCATAATTGGCAAAGCATCATGCACCCAAGATATTGGTGAGTTGGGGTTTTAATGACATGATTCTTACTTCAGATTGCCAGCTGCTTTCTTATACTGACTTTCACAATTGTACTGTAGTGCTCCATGGGCCTGGGCTCCTCAGTGTGCATTGTGTGCTTGAGAACATTGCTGGGACTGTAACCCTGTTCCCTCAGGATGGTGCACTGTGCTTAGTCAATGGCTCTGTGGTCACCGATCCTTGCCAGCTGACTCAGGGTAAGCAGTTCTGTAATATTTAATTTACTCTTGACATTCTTTAATGAACACTGGTGCTGGAAATCTATAAGAAAAAAAGATTTCTCTCTCACTCATACATAATCGTTTGGCTTGTGGGAGCCAATACAACTTTCATCCATTTTGAATGCAGTTATATATGATCGCTGCATCACATCTTCAAATGAAATCCACTTTATCTCCCCGGTTCTCCTACTGCCGTGCACTCGGGGCATGAGCGGATTCTGAACACAGCTCTCCATAGGGCAGATGCCATTTCTTTTACTAAACATTTTGAAGGGCGAGAGGCCCCGGACAAAGCTCCAGACAAAGCCCCAGGCCCTCCATTTAATTGGCAGATGGAGTTGATAGGGCCGACAGGTTTGAAGTGGGCCAGAACATTAACCTTTCAAAGGACAGAGGCAAGCCGGGCTGGAACTCTGGCCCCCCTGAGCCGGCACTTCTTGCCAGGGCTGGGAGCTTTCACTGTTTCCTGCTTCCACATCCCCGTTGCTTGGCTTTTGAGAGATAAAAACTTTAAACAGAGCCAGGCAGCACAGGGCCTGCCTATGCTAGTCTCTTTTATAAGCATTTCAATTTATCCAATATCCCCTTCAGAAATGGCTGCATCTGAACCTATTTTCTTGAACAAATGATAGTAATTTTCAGCCCAACAGCAGCTGGATTCCATCACAGGCTGCTCTCTCAGGTACTTTGTCACTCGTCAGAAGTCATTAGTAGTAGCAAGATTAGTATTCGCTCTGCTGAGAGAGGAGAAGGAAAAGCAGGAGACCTCGTGAAAATCTGTGGATATGGCCACATGAACGTGAGTCTGATATATATAAACCCCAATATCACTTCAATTCTATAGCTTTACAAGACTTCTCAAGTTTCCTTGGACCATTTTCTCTGGTAAATTATCCCCCTGGTCTTGTCCACTGCCAATCATGTTGGGGATTGTGTTCCTGATGGCAATTCATTAACTCACCAGACGAAACTGTGTGGGGGATTTTTGTGCTTTCTGTCGAGTTTCTCCAGTGTTCAGTGTAGATATGGGTCACTGCTATCCCACAACGAAGGGAAGATTCTCATGGCAACAGAAAAATTATGCATTATGCAGACTGTGCCACACCTCCAAAGGTTTCCTGGCAGATTTGTCACCGGCATCTGTCATTGACTGTACCAGTTGTTTTCCCTATGAATCGCATCATTATTTTTATTTATTTTGGGCACCAAATAGTAATGAAGTTCATAATGACTAGTTAATTGGTATTTTCCCATTTTCTTTTCATGTATTATCTCTTTGGGCTCCTTTTAGGTGCCATCATACAGTTGGGAAAAGGAGCCCCACTCTGGTTTAACCAACCGACTACTTCCCGACTTAGACTGAAATACCAGGTATGGTAAAATACTAAAAACCACCGCATGCAGAAAAGATCCCAATTCTTCTACTACTAGACTTTTTCTAAAATGTAGTGTCTCTGGGGGAGCTGCATTTTCTGCTGGTAATGTTGTAAAAGCAAGTGAACATCATGCACTTTGTTGCCATAACTACCTGCTGTAATGCCTGCTACCTTTGACAAATATTACTCATATTGATATCATGTTCAAAATCTACATGAGAAAGTTCCACCACACCACCAGTGGGATCCATATGCCTTTGTTTTGATCAGAATATTAACTATGAGCTTTTCAGTTGGAGCAGGTTTTTGCTTGTTTATATAACTCTCTCTTTTTGTTGGTTTTGAATAATTGGCTCATATCATGGACAATATGTTCCCAACTTTAGAACTTTCTCACGCTAGAAAAGCCTCCTGCTGTTCCTGAAAGGAGGCCAGGTGCAGTGCCTTTCAAAGCTGGCTGCTATTCGTCCTTTTTGCAACAGCTTCCTCTTGGCTTTTAGTATTTTTAAAGAAGCATTGTGTGAAAGTAGAAACTCCCTCACACTCTTGGATGCTGCAGGCACTGTTTTCTCTGCAGTAATATATCAATGTAAAGCATTCCTGAGAAAATCTATTGAAGGCATATTTTTAGTTTGTGATAAAATAAATGTAAGAAGACTTGGATACATTTCATCCAGTATTAAAGTAGAAAAAGTTGACGCTATTAATCAATTAAAAAGTTAACGAGAAGGATGTACTCGACAGCTGAAAGTCTGCCACAGCATATTGTTACTGTTCAAATTTATTACGGTTAATTCAACTGTAACTAAAAACTGAAACTGGGTGTGAAAAACATCTCAGTTAATGAAATAAAACCTTTTTAACAATATGGCTTTAAGTCTCATTTATCCAAATGTTGTAAATGCAACATGCAGAATATGCATGGACTCTGTTGCAAGTGCTCAGTTCTTATCCTCACTGTTCTGAACATTTTTAAACTGCATATAGCTACAGTCAGCAAATACTGATGCTAAACTAGTTTAAACTGAATGAAAATAAATACCAGTAAATTAAAAACAACTCTAACCATCAACACTGTGGCAACAAATAAATTGTCTTTTAAAATGACAGAGCAATCTCTCATTTACTTTTTATTTTCCATATATATTTAGAGCTATGCTGTGAAATGATCAGTGTACAATTAGCATTGAGTCCTTTTGACATTTTTGTCTTTTACATGGTAGCCGGCGTTGGGATTTATTTTGCGCTGATCAACAGAAAAAACATCTGAAAATGAATCACTATGCTTGAGTTATTTCACTCAAATGGCCATTAGCTAGAAGTTGAATGTGGAGTGAGTCCTGGTGTGTTACAGATTCTTGTGGGCTTAAAATCCTGTTAGGATGCTGCTGAGTAGGTTTCCAAGGTTCATCTATTCAAGATATGACAAAACGTCTTTGTCACAGATTTACTGAAACCACCTCAAAAAGGAAAAGTAAGGTTAGTTATTTAAAAATGAGAGTACAGTGGTTTACCTTCTATATGTAAAATAAAGACTCCATTCTCTGTGAGCCTCTATATGAGAAACACTAGGGGAGCATGTTAACAAAAGGAGCTCTGAAACCATTAGCTGACGCTGATAGACTGTCTATATATAATGTTGCTTGGCTGCTCACTACTCAAAGCTTAAAGTGAAATCATGATGTCATGACACTGAGTGGACCCTGCAGTGGACATTTTCCAAGAAGATCATAATGTTGCACTTGGCTACACACAAGTGTTGAAAATGTAACTAAAGCATACACGTGTTTCACCAACTTCTCTCTCAACGTTTGTGTTTAAATGTCACATTTTTGGTTTTGGACAGTTAAAGAAATGTCAGATGCAGCCGCTCTTAATGTAGTGGAAAGGTGGAAGAGGGCTGAGTTTCCCAGGCTGTCCATGGAGCACTTAAGGCACCATACACTGAGCCTTTTTAATATTGAAAACTATATTTGTAGCTTGGTGTTTTCAGCCAAATAAACTGGGGTATGAATAATTTTATAAGCGTGATTGATTATCAACCCTGGTGTTTTGAGCTTCTAATAAAATGAGTAGTACAATGTTAATGTTGCTAAAATGATCACACTAAGAAATTGGAACTTTTATTAAAGTATCAGTGCTCAGTAAAGTTACGAGATGAAAAAAAACAACTTTGTCAGTGAATGGACTGTCAAGCCTGCAACTTTGAGCACCCTGTGCTTTATAGCATTTCATGTTGTAAAATTGATTCACACACCATTTTAGACACAGTTGTACTTCTGGCTTTTGACAGCTCTCTGCTCTTTGCATTATTGAAAGCGGCACGCTATTACAGCCAAGTAAAGCACCGGCATCCAGGTCCCGCTGTGGTTCCAAGGAGACTCTTTAACATTCATTTTTAACATCGATTCTAAATGAGATGGTCTCAAGAGTTTCACTTTCACTTAGTCTGAATATGTGCTAGCACATCTAGACTGTAGCCTGTATCTGTTGTGTAAAAATATATATATTTTTAAAGTGTTCTGTCTGAATATTAATACAGTTTTACTAAATATGGAAATTGTGTTGAAGAATGAAATGCTTTGCGTACTACCACTTTATTTTAGCCATGTGTGATGGATTCATGCAGTATTTTTCTATTACCTGTTTAGAAATTTCTGCAAACACTAAAAATGAAGGCATCAACTAAACCTCTGGTCAAATGCAAATGTAACATAGGCAGCTGTCACTTGTTTCTTATACCGAGGCAGATTTCAGTGCTGTGTCATTCTGTTGTCTGCAGAGTGGATTGCCATCTGTGTTCAGCCCATCTGTGACTGACTCGTCCAACTCTACTGAGAATTTGTCCAAGGCGATGGTGCAAAATCGATGGTAAGACATATGCAGACATGTGTAATGGCTCTCTGCACTTTGTGAGCCCAGCATAACTGCATTCATTCCACCTCAATCTCCGCAACGTGCCTGCTTATTGAGCAGCGTTCATTGGGCACACAGACCAAATCAAAGCCATAAATCATGGCACCATTTCTGTGAGGAGAGGTGGGAACATACAAAAAGCCATTCTGTAGTGCTTATTGCTGAGCCCATGGAAATCAGAGCAGGCAGCTCTCCTACAACCAAGGGCATGTCCGAGAATGGCACCTTGTTCACTAGGTAGTGACCTGCCCAGTGTCCCATTTTCAAAATTACTGCAACACACTTCAAGTTCAGCTCCCCTGAAAATTCCCACAATGCAGTAAAAAAAAAAAGAAAAAGAGTGGGGGTACATCTAATGTTCATTAGTAGTTATGCAATTTCCCTTGTTTTACTCCATCTGCAGCAGATTCTTCTCTTTTTAGGCCTTTTTCTCCACTTTCCTCTCTGTATCATCAGTAATGAATGATCCAAGTGGTGTTTGATTTATTTATTTTTAAAGTACAGTTCACTTGCTTCAAACCGTTCTGTCTTCTATCATGTTTTTGGCATTTATTGGTATTTGATTTGTGAATTTGGTAGAGTAAAGACTGTTTTAATGAGCAGCAGTGATGCAAAATAGCAGCCTCGTTTCTAATTTTGAATAGCTAACCAGGTTTGAGGTTTGACTATATGCCATCAAAAAAAAAAAAGAAGGTACTTGCACTGCAGCTCTTTCCCTCTCTTTAAACAATAGCGTACCATGATGTTTATCGGCGTTTGGTAAGGTGAAATCTTCATGCCCTGCCACTGCCTTGAAATTGTGAGTGTTCATTGATACCAGTGTCTCAGTGTTCAGTGAATTAATGTCAAAAATCTTATTCACCAGCTACTAACACTCTGAGCATTTTGAGAGACATCCCTGGTCTCATGATCTGCTAACCCTGATGTTTTACAGCATGTGGAGCTGTCTGACACATAATTTCCTTCACACCGCAGTATCCCCATCCTACTCATGTGATTAATACTGCTTTCAGTCTGACACCTGCTTCCCGATCCACTGGTCTGGTGATGTTTGATTTAGATATGAAAGGGTGAATACACATGTATATGGGTTACTACACGGCTTATGTTGGCGGAATAGTGTCTTCATTATCCTACATCAGAAACTTGGTCTGTTGCTAAAGGGAGAAAGGAAGTCAGTCGTGGTGGAGATAGATTGTCAGTGTTCACAGCAGATCAGAGAGAGACTGTCGACAGAAGGAAAAACTCATGCAATGCATATGAGGCACATTGCAAAATACACTTTGGTTATTGGGTTCTGCTCTGGGTGTCAATTAACACGCATCATAAAATATTAAATGATGTATTCATTGTATTTAACATTGCCTCCTCTCACCTGGCAAAGTGCCCATATGCACTGTTTGAGCATAATGGTTAAGATAATGGTTCAGTGAAGGACTTTTTCGCTTTGTATTCAGATATGTGTTCAATCTTTTTTTCTACTTCTTATTTGCATAGCAGAAACTCCCTCGCAGCAAGGACAGAATGGATCTCTCTTTACTGAGTCATTTTGGAAATGATCCTGAACAATAAATAAGAGCAAATCATTTAAATTCAAATGCTGGCTTTGGAGATCTGTTGGGGTCTGGGAATGACAAAAGCCATCAGTGAAAGGACTTGCAGCTACTAGGGGAGGTGCTCTGTTGCACAAAAAGCAACCTGCCTGTTTGGCTGCTTCAGTGGGATTGCACACTTTTGAGAGCGCTAATAATTTGGGCAGGAAGAGGCTTAATGCATCACCACAAATAGTTTTGTTTTCATCCCCTTGCTTTGCCTCCAAGAATAGGGTAAAATCACCTCTCCAGATGTTGTGACAAATTTGCATAATAACATTTCAAACTCAGTCCTTTTATTGATATTGATTTCCTAATTGAATATGATACAAAATTAGATGACTTTGTAGCCAGTAAAGATGTTTGAAGACTAAAATTACTCCCGGGTTTTTTAAAAAAAAGCAAAAATGTGAAATCTCTCTTCACTAGCCTTTTCAGGGATTTGGAATAAATATTAGAGGACATTATGAAATGTGCATTTGGAAGGCATGTACACTCTTTCCGATTTCAGACTTGTCTTTAAAAAAGGTCTAATTTAATTTTCCCTGTTAATCAATCTACACACGATTCTGCACAATGTCAAAGCAAGAACTGTTCATGTGTTTTTATAATTTAAGAAATACTGAAAATATTTAATTTACAGGGTAATTCAGATCCTTTGGGCTTTGATTCATCCTCCTACCAGCAGTCCTTGAGATGCTTTTACAAGTCCATTTGTGCCTGATTGTATTCATTGGGCATGAAAGGTTTTTATGAAAGATCTCACATTTGATGGTTTAGGTCTTAAGTTTTAGGGCAAACTGGGACACAAGGTCAAAGTATATACCTAAACCTTGTGTAAAGGCACAGAACAGGCTATAACAAGCTGTAGTCTTTATTATTCTCCAGTGGAAGAAGTTTAAAACCACTAGTTTGTCTGCACCAACTTGGCCAACCAGACAAGTGGGGTAATGTGGGACAAATGTGCTTGGTTAGACAAGCAGCCAGTAAGACGGTGGTTACAGTGAATGTTTCAGAGTTTGTGTGGAGACAACTGTCATTGCATCACTTCACCAATCAGTCCTTTATGGTAGAGATGGAGAACTTGGTCCTAACTGAAAGGAACGTAACAGCCTGTTGTGAGGTAAAATACAGCCGAATGCCACGAGAACCAAAGTCCTTACTCACTATCTATTATGGGGCCAACTGTTTATAATCTAACAAAACGGCAAAATGCAGCCGAGAAAAACCAAGTGTCAGTGGAGTCTAGTAGCCCGCACAACAAAGGAAGGATATAATACGGTAGTCACACAAAGATGGTTATAAGTGGTAGGTCTGTACAGCTATAGAATATTAAGGCACTTTATGATTATGTGTGCACTTTAACATTGTGGTCAGCTAAGACTGGGAAAGTGCTATATAAATGCTGACTATAATAGACTTATTAGGACGTCATTAAGACCTGAGGTGAAGGGGGTAATTATGGTTGCTTATTCTGTTAAATGACTGGGTGTAAAACCATCTTAGCCTTATTCTTTCATCTGCAGTTGTGGCAGTATTAAGTATCAAGAGCAATTAAAGAAGGAAAAAAAAATAGAATTTATAATGATAAGTAGGCTAAGCTGTTTCACAAGGTGATGTTATGAGTTTGGTCCGTAGATTGTGATGTCGTTCTTGTTTGTCTCTTCTCAAAAGCAATTTGTTCTGAAGCAGATAAGGCCTGCAGCATAAGTTACCCTGCTGTACCCCTGTTAGCACAATGGTAACTTAGTGTACCGAAAACCTGTGGTTGTGATTTTTCTTTTTTTCTCTCTCTCTCTCTCTTACCCCCCCCCTTGCTAAACCCCAAATCCTTTGTAGTACAGGCTTCTGAACTGGTGATTCTCATCCAGTCACACTGAACTTGAAAGACTCGGGAGAGAAGAATGAGTCTTTCAAACTAAAGGTGTGTCAATATGCATAACGCTCAAAGCCCTTTGCGTGTGGATTATTGAAGAAAAATGGACTGTATCCATTTGAAGATGAGGCCAAATGTAGAAAAATTGAAAGCGTCTGAGAACTTTCCAAATGCACTGTAAATGTCATGACTTGAGCTTTCAATATGTAGACATAAGATGGATATTCCTAGGAGAGGCAGGAAAAGGGCCATGTTGCCTGTAGAGGCCGGGTCATATGCTTTCGTATTGTGTATAAATCTATGCCCATAAGACTCACTTCTTCCCTTGTAAAAGGGGCCCCACTGTGTTTGATTCATACTTTATTAAATGGACTGTGTAGCAGAGCCACAATTTTGAAGTCCAAGTTGAAATGCAGCCATTTCAAACCCAGAAAGTCTGGACTGTGAGCGCTTCCAGTGATGGAACCAGCCAACTGGTGTTTGACCCGAAACAACATTTAATGGCCCCCTATGCTCTGAAAGTCCCTTATCTGACAACCCTCTCAGTATCCTCCATCTCTGGTCAGAAGGCCAAGTGCCAGCGTTTTTCTCTCTTCCATTTTTGACCACTGACAAGCTGCTAGTACGAGCTTACATCACCTCAAATGGTATAATTTCACTGGTTAAAGTTCTTCACTTTGGGAGCTCCTGTGTAACTTAACACTTGTCTAGCTCTGAATGTCCTTTTTTTTT